TTTGAATTTTTTTGACTGTGAAGGAGCTAAGAACAGAGAGACTTTTCATCATATGGGCTGCTAAGCTAAACAAGCATGTATATTATAAAGGTATCTTGACTTCAGAATTTGGGTCTAAAGATATGCTGCTTTGGAAAAGAGGTTTTTCTTTTGTTTCCACAGAAAATGAGGACCTGTGGCTTACTTCCAGGCAAATATGGTTTGATAGGCCACAGTCCCTTGAAAGGTTGCCGTGAACACCCTCAGAAAATTACTTTGCACAACTGCTGACAGAGATAAATGCAGCACACAGGATACACCATGAAATACCTGATTAATAGCACACCCAAACAGTAGGAAGTAGTATGGACAGAACTATGCCCATATTCCCAAATATTGTTAATAATTGTTTGTTTAGATTTAAAGGGGAATATGCTATAGAGATGAATAATTTGCTTTGGTATAGATCTTGGCTTTTTTTTATACAAATTTAAGGTCAAGTTTGTTATATGTATATGTATTTCTGATCTTTATTAAGGTATTGTGATTGTGGGGTCATTTAAAAATGTAATGTAAAATTAAGAAATATAGGTTAGCTGGGTGGTAGTGGCACATGCCTTTAATCCCAGCACTCGGGAGGCAGAGGCAGGCAGATCACTGTCAATTTGAGGCCAGGCTGGTCTACAAGAGCTATTTTCAAGACAAGCAGCAAACCTTGTCTCAAAAAACCAAAAAAAAAAAAGAAAGAAATATAGTTTAATAGGTAGTCATCTATAATAGTCAAGTTTGTAGTCATGCTAGTTAGATTTTCTAGATGTACAGAGATATATTTCAGTTAGATAAGTATTCTTCAAATCTTTCAGAGACCTTCAGAATATGGCATTTAAAATGTTTAAGAACTTAAGACTTTTTATGACAGTGAGGCATGTCTGTTCCTGGCAGCACCAATTACTTCAAGAGGAATATGGGCATCGAAAAGGCTCCTGATGGAGTTTGCTAGCCATTTGGGCAAGAAACTACTCTTGTTTGGATTGCTTCACTGGACATGCAGGACCAGCAAAGAAATGACTGCTGAACTTGCTTTAAGGTGAGATGACCCTTCGGGATTCCTGCTTCATGAAAGAGTCTGTGAGACATTCTGCAGGATACAGAAGAACGTGACTGAACTGTCTTTGAAATTTTCTGCTTCATGGAAATGTCTGCTGGATACTATGGGCCTGTAGCATGAATATAGCCCCAATGGTACAGAAGAACTTTCGGTGACTGTCCAGGCAGTGAGATGTCTCTGTCAGTTCTAGTGTTTTGGATGTTGCTTACAATACAGTTTTTGTAGGGTTATTTTGGGGCTAAGCTAGCCAGGTGGCTGGGACAAACAAGCAGCTCCTCCTTCTACAGTGTGTTTCATTCTTTTATGTTGCATTTATTTAACTCTGGGAAGCTGTGTTACTTTGCCTGTCTAAATCACCTGATTGGTCTAATAAAGAGCTGAATGGCCAATAGTAAAGCAGGAGAAAGGGTAAGTGGGGATGGCAGGTAGGGAGAATAAATGGGATGAGAAAGAAAGATCAAGGAGCAAGTAAAGAAGAGGCTAGTGACCTAGTTACCCAGCTACCCAGCCATGAAGTCACCCAGTTACACAGACAGACACAGAATAAGAAGGAAACAAAAGATATACAAAAATATAGTAAGGTAAAAAAGCCCAGAGATTAAAGGTAAATCGGATAATTTAAAAGCTGTCAAGAAATAAGCCAAGCAAAGGCTGGGTATTTATAAGTAATAAGTTTTTATGTGTATTTATTTGGGAGCTGGGTGGCAGACCTCCAGAAAGAGCAAAGAGCAAAAAGAATAAAAAAGAACCAATAACAGATTCCCCTGATCATTTTAAAGCAAGTCACAGATGCAAACAGAGATATGAACTACCAAACAAAGCAAATAAGACCAGTAGTTGTGTCGGGATTTTCTTCTAATTAATAATATATACTACTTTTAGAAGGAGTCATAGTAGTTAACATATTGTTTAAGAACAATGGAGAGCTGTTATATTAGAGTTTTCATTATTTTATTTAATGGAATAAGTGATCCCCATAAGGTGGTGTAAGGCATTACATTTCTCGTAAAGCAGGCTCTCAAGGGTTTCCTGTGGAAACAAACACCTCTTAGGAATTGATTTCATACCTACTAAATGAAAATTCCACCTCTTGGTCTAAACTATGTCAACTACCTTTCATCTAATCCTGGGTAAAGGAGTGTTTGCTGATTGATTTGCTTATTTTAAGATTTCTTACCACATTAATCATGTGAATATAAACTTCAATATACAATAAGAACTGTATATAGTTTTGCCAAGGCTATTTCATCACTGATTGACTCTTCACAGGGAATTTCTTAACACCAACATTTTGTAGACAGTTACTATAATATTAGTTGAATGAGAATTATATTTGATGAAATAATTCAGCATTTTTCATTGCGAATAGTACCATGAATCTTGCTATGTTTACTTTGAAATGAATAAAATATTTATGAAAGAAGTGACCACAGATTCTCAAGCTTCGTAGATTTAAATAATTGTTTATTGAGATAATAGGTAACAAAATGAAGACAATATGTCTAGCCTTAGCTTTCCCTCCAACTTATTGGGTGGAATGAATTCAGAGGATCTTCCAGCAAATACCATATTGCAAGTACCAATATAGCTTCATTATCTGCTGCTTGGAAGACCCAGGAACTTTCTCACTTTCTGGAGCTTGTATATATTAATTTCTGCTTCCAAACTTTTCTTGGTTTCCCTTTCCTTTTATCTGTTTTCCATTTTCCCCTCCACATATCAGCTTAGCCATTTTTCCTCAAGCAGTCCTTTCCTGACACTTAAAAATCGGGACATGTGTCACTTTCCCATGCTTACGTGACATGTACTGTAGCCCTTCAGATTCTATGCTGATGATGTCTTAAGCTCCTCTGAACAATGGCACTAGTTTTCTGCCCTCTACATAGTACTAACTGCAGTGCCTAGCACAAGACAATAATATTTTACTGTTTTTCATTTCCCCCAGAATTACAGTTAATGAGTGGCAAATCTACCTCCAAGTGCTCTGCTGAAGATTTGATCCTACAGTGCTGAGAAACAACTCATACACATATCTAAATGTGGTTATTTAAATCTTTCCTTGAGTGTATTGCATTGTATATTTCTGTTGGAAAAAGAGTCATAACCCAAAGGAAAGAGACAGCAGCCCTTTCATCAAAGGGCGACAGAAGAGCACCACATTTGGTGTTTTTGCTTTGTGGTTTAGTCACGGAATGGTCCTTGTTGCATTTCTCACTTGATGGAAACACAGTAATGCCTCTGATCCAGCCATTTGCAATGATTAGTTCATCAGTGAGGTGCACATCCTTCTCCTCCCCGAGTATAATTATGGGATCCACCATTAACTGCTTTCTGAAACTTGGCAGCCTGTACAGCTGTGTTAGCAAAAGTGAACTGCTTATGTGCTGTTTCTGATAATGAAAAGAGTAGCATCTTAGATGGTTTCACTTCAATATATTTTAACTGAATTTTCATTCTGGGCTATGCTCTGAATTGTATTTATGCTACAGGACAAGGGGCCTTTCAGGCTCAGCTGCATTGATGAATTATTCAAGAGTGCCTAAGGATTTTTTTTAACTTCTTAATCATTTTGATGTTCAATCAGAGTCCTGGCAGAGAGGTGCAGATGAAGGGAGAAACAAAGAATGTGACAATAACTCTCACAGCTGTGAAGAAGGTTTGACATGCTTGTGGATGGTTCCCACAGCTGCACAGAATTTATTTTCTACGCGAATCTGTGTTTGTAATTCAGATGGCAAGGGCCGCACACGTAATCCATTCATTGTAATTGCCCACTCCAGTCTGAAAACTCTGCTGAATTTCTAGGCTGTCAATCAAATTATATTTACAAAGTAATTGAGTTAACATTTTAAGTCAAAGTTTTAGACTGAAAATCCATATATTTGATCAAAAACAAAAACAAAAACAAAAACAAAAACAGGTAGTCTTGATGAGTTACCTACATACTACAGATTCCTCCTAATAGGTTCTCTTTATGGCTCCTTTGCCTCTGAGCTTTTGACGTCTGGATTAAAGTATCCCAGTTTGTATACACAATGGTGGATTTGTCTACATATCAGAAAAATCCAAAGAATGTCTATTCTCTTTTTGATTTGACTTGAATCAGGGTTTCATGTATCTCAGGCTGGCCATAAGCAGGTTTCACTACACCCAGCAGTTAGTTTTCACAATCAATTAACTATGGAGGTTTTTAGTACAACTTTTTAACTATTAGAGAGTGGAATGTTTTGTTGCAAAGGAGGTTATTACAAGATCGAAGTAAGTGAACATGTGGCCAGTGCTATTGACTCAAAGCAGTAAAATTTTATGAATACCTAGGAAGCCCTGGGACATTACATCTGCTTTCAAAGAATTAGCAATTTTCTCTCGCTGTTCATCACCAACTCTGACAATCTAGAGATAGGACTGTGGTTTGGGATGCAACGTTTATACAAAGCATTTGGGGAAAAAGAAATTTTGAAGCTTGGGATTGGAGAGATAGCTCAGCAGCTAATGGCATACACTCCTCTTAAAAGGTCCTGGGTTCAATTCCCAGCACCTACATGACAAGTTGCAATTGCCTATAACGATAGTTCTAGGGGGATCTGATGCCCTTCTTCAGGGGATCACGGGAACTAGGTTTGCATGTGGTACATATACATACATTTGGGTATTCACACATAGACATAAAAAAATCTTTAAAAAAGAAAATTAGATGCCTAATTAAAATTGTTACTTTGTAAGTAAATATTTTAGATTTTTCACCATAATTTAAAGATGCTTAGAATTTTGGTTATGGTCTTTGTGAAATGTATTTTGTGTGTAAACATTTTCTTTCTAGGAAAAAAATTCTATAAAAATTAACTTTTCGAGCATGTAGCGGCCGCTGGCGGTGGGGCTCCCGGGGCGGGCCGCGGGGACCGCATGCGGCGACATGGAGGAGGAGGGCAAGAAGGGCAAGAAGCCTGGAATTGTGTCGCCATTTAAACGAGTATTCCTAAAAGGTGAAAAGAGTAGAGATAAGAAAGCCCATGAGAAGGTGACAGAGAGGCGCCCTCTGCACACTGTGGTGCTGTCATTACCTGAGCGCGTCGAGCCAGACAGACTGCTGAGCGACTATATTGAGAAGGAGGTGAAGTATCTAGGTCAGTTAACATCCATACCCGGCTACCTGAACCCCTCCAGTAGGACTGAGATTTTGCATTTCATAGACAAGGCAAAGCGGGCCCACGAGCTTCCTGGACAACTGACCCAGGAGCAGGATGCTGTGCTCAGTCTGTCTGCCTACAATGTCAAGCTGGCCTGGAGGGACGGGGAGGACATTATCCTCAGGGTGCCCATCCACGACATCGCTGCTGTCTCCTATGTCCGAGATGATGCTGCGCACCTGGCTGGCCTCAAACTCACAGAGATCTGCCTGCCTCTGCCTCCCGAGTGCTGGGATTAAAGGTATGTGCCACCACTACCTGTCCACATCTTTTTTTTTTTTTTTTTTTTGGTTTTGGTTTTTCGAGACAGGGTTTCTCTGTGGTTTTGGAGCCTGTCCTGGAACTAGCTCTTGTAGACCAGGCTGGTCTCGAACTCACAGAGATCCGCGTGCCTCTGCCTCCCAAGTGCTGGGATTAAAGGCATGCGCCACCAGCGCCCGGCTCCTGTCCACATCTTAATGAATATTTTGAATTTAAAAATTTCATTATCAATTATAGCTTTTATGTACTTATTCGTACATAAGAAAATGAAAAATCCACAGTTGAATTAAAATTCAAAAGATCTGATTGCTCTTCGAGCAGATGAGGGGGGGGGGGGACTTGATCGGGGGAGGGGGAGGGAAACGGGAAGCGGTTGTGGGGACGAGGCAGAAATTCTTAATAAATAAATAAATTAAAATAAAAAAAAAAAAAAAAAAAAAAAAAAAAAAAAAAATTCAAAAGATCTTTATGTCACTTTTCACATCTCATGTATTCTTGCTCTGCGTTCTGTCTTTCCTCTACTAGTCCCTTCATTGTCCTCCTTTCTTTTCATATACTTTTGCCTGTTTTGTGTATGCTTCTAACTCTATATGTATTTTATATACAAGTATATGTATGTATATACATTAGGTAGTTAGGCTACGCTCATCTAGTAGACAAGTACAGACAGTCTTTCTGTAAATTCTCATTACTAAAGAAAATGCTTAGATTAAATTTACTAGTGACTTTTACATGATTTTGTGAATTTACATTTTTTAAATTGATAATGAACAACATCCAAACCTTTTGTCAAGGGACAAATATGTCCACTCTTGCCCCACAGCTCTGCAGTCTTACTACAGTTCTGTTGTTGATATGCTCCAGTTAAAGTTTTCAATGATTTTTATTGTAACCCTTACATTTCTTTATGCCAGTCATGTTGTAAGAAGGACGCTTGGTAGCTCACACCCAAAATAATCACACAAAACCTGTGTTAATTAAATCACCGCCTGGTCTATTAGTTCTAGCTTCTTATTGGCTAGCTTTTACATAGTAATTTAACCCATCTACATTAATCTGTGTATTGCCATGTGGCTGTGGCTTAACAGGTAAAGTTGTGTCCACCATCTGTCTCCAGAAGAGCTACATGACTTCTCCTGACTCTGCCTTCTTCCTCCCAGCATTCAGTTTAGTTTTGCCAACCTTGTTCTGCTATACCTTATCACAGGTCCCTAACAACTTCTTTATTAACCAATGGTATTCATAGTATACAGAGGGGAATCCCACAACTCATTCATTTTTTAATTCATTTGTTGAGAGCCTGTATTATTCACAGGCACAGAGAAGTAACATGAAATAGGAATCTTCATGTCCCTGTGTTAGGTTTGCTGTGATAGCCTTCATTGTTAATACATTGTGGGTCCTTCAAGAAAAAAAAACAAATTTGTCTTATAAAGCATTAGTCTTTAGGGTATTGGCAAAATTCAAGAGAGAAAGAAGACTTAGCCATTCTGCCCTTACTCTTCAATGTGTCTTTCAGGTTTAAGGCAGTAACATTTCAGATAAGATACATTCAAGAAGCAAAATTATAACTACAATCCATTTCCTGTCCAAAGGTTTCTTTCTTTTATTAAAGTTATATTAAGGATATTTATATTTTTGCTTAGATCACAGAGGTGGCTGAGTGTATCACTTCTTCTATCTTAATGGAATCCTTTGTGCAACTGCAAGTCATTAAACTAGAACTAGGAATATCAGTTCCCATAAAAGTATTCAAATTATCATTTCTGAAGAAAAACCTCCCTTATAAAAGATTGTACTGCCAAACAAAAGTTATTTGTTTTTTCAACTGTTCAAAATTTTATGCAATAAGCATGAAAAAAACCTTATCTTTTCTTGTACTGTTTTATAATTTTAGTCAAGAAAAAGAAAATCCAGTATTTACTGAATGTCAGTTGTGTGCCAGGATCATGCCAGGTGCATTTTCTTACTCTCCACAATGAACCTTGGAGCAACAGGGATTGGTTTTGTACAAAGAACAAATGAATTTCAGGGGGAGTGAAGCAGTTTGCCATAAATTCCTGACAAGAAATTGGCAGTCTGACTTAGAATTCAAGACTACCATATTTGTCTAGAATCTTTCTAACAGTGACAGTGTTTCTCATACGAGTGATCAAAGCTGGAAAGAAACAATGTTATCTAAGGAAATAATCTGGATTTCTTATATTTTCAATGACACTAGCTCAAGTGCCCCTCTTATTTATTTGCCCTAGGGACACTTACCATCTATTGCTAACTGTGATTCTCTATGGAAACGTCATTTCTAGTTCTTTCCTAAGGCTGGGAACTTTTCACACATGGATTTTTGTGTTGTGATTTATAGCATAGATAAAACTAGTGTGGTAAGTCAGAATTAAAGTTATTTTGACCTCTGTTATAGAAAACAAGTGTTTTACATATTTGATGGTGGAAAGACTGGACACTTAAAAGAAAATCCCACACTAGCTCAGAACTGAGAGATAGATATTTATTTATGGGGAAAACTTACAAATCAGGATTCTCTGCTTGAACGGTGGATGGAGTTGGGATCCAAACAATCAGAATGAGCAAATGGGAACCAGGGGGAGGGAGAGAAAAGACAGACTCTGCAGCAGTGTCCAGTTATATAGTATAAGAGGCCATGCCCCAGTAGGCAGGGGTAAATGTTCCCACAGCACCTCCCCTTTTGTTTAAATAATAGAGTTCTAAACTTAATATAAAAATATATGTGATAAGAACAACTATCCTATTCTAACTAGCTTAAGTCTTGTATAATAAATTACTTGGCCAAGTCATGAGAAGAAAGTAACTACACTTCTCTAGTCTTCAACCCCATCAAAGATCCAAGAAGAGAAATAATGATACTTGGAGTGAGTAGGAAGTGCAATCAAACAACTTCCAAAATGTGCAAAATATGACAGAGACAACTGGCTACCTGGACAATCACCCAATGTCTCATTTGCAGTGTTGAGGCAAACAACTTTGGCTAAGGCCTAGAGTAACTGACAAACTATTTTCAAAGGCAAGAAAAAATTTAAAACTGTCTTACCCTGTGTTGGCAAGAATTGACAGTCCCACTTATCCATTTCTGGATACTATGTATTTTGCGAGTGGTTGAGGAATGGGCATTTCTTTGCCCAAAAGCTGGTTTTGCCAAGAAGAAGACAAGCTCCAAGTGGAGTGTCTTTGGTGCTCAATATTTTCTCAGGAATAGATTGGTGCTGCCAGGAGCAATTGTGTCTCACTTCAACAGAACTCTAAGTGATTTAAATGATGTTTTCTACAGCTCTTTGAAGTGGTTGAAGATTATCTATCTGTATAGAATATAATCTTTATGTACCTAAAGAACCTGATTAGTCTAACTATAAGTATGACAGACATAGGTGACTATTGATCTATAATCCTTAATACCTATATAGCTTAAAGGCTAAGACAATAAACAACTGTGCAATAAATGAGGACAATGACCTCCAAATGTAAACAATGTATAAGTATCTTGATCAGAGGTAGAAATGTACACTGCAATATGGTAAGTATATATCAATATACAAAAAATGTTTTAAACAGAGGTAGAAGCATGTATGCATACAATATTCAATATTATTTAACTTTGTATCAATATACAAGAATCTATACCAATATATAATTGTCTATAAATAATAATTCACAAACTAATCTATATTATCCCATCCAATTTTCCTTTTATTTTTAAAAATGATCCCTGAGCTTATAAAATTTCCCCTCAACCCTCAACCGTATACCAATTATAATCAACCCCTAAATGATTTCCCTAACCCTGAGGCAAACTTTGCTGGGAGAGGGGACATACATCATCTTCTAGAATTACTTTCAGCTGTCATGAAAGCAACATTCATTCCATGGGATCCTGTGAAAGTAAGATTAATGTCTGTTAAGATTGCAAATAGTCTCTGAGTATTTTGTGGAGGTCTTACCAGAACATTGTAAAAGAAGTGCACCATTTCAGCTAACCAAGTTGGAACCATCTTGAGCAGCTGGTACCCAAAACAGGTCTTGTAGTAGCACTAACAGCATCATGATGTCATATCAACCAGGTGGAGTTGTTGTTTTGGGGCCCCATATTCTTCCTGGAATCTTCCAAGATTACTTCAGGAATATTTATTGTTCATTGGGGAAAACTTAAGCATTATTTATATAGACATATACAGACATATATATTCAATAAAGGGTATGATAAAGACAAAATAGATATGAGGAAAAATAGAGACTTTTTTCTAAATTTTTTTTTCTTTCTGTCCCATATCATGGCTCCTGGCATGAGACAGAAACTCAGGATTTTCTCTTAACAACAGGCTTGGAATTAGAGAGGGACTGAGCCAGTGTCCAACTCCAAAACCAGCTCTATATATTTATAAATATAAACACACACACACACAAAACATATACTGTCAACATTTATGCTTATGGAACATATTCGATTTTCTTAATGATGCTTATTGGATAGTTATTGTTCCAACTGTCTGTAGTCAAACATCCAGGGTCCTTTTAATTCTTTGAAGTTTAGTGTTTTCCTGTGAAGGCAAGAACCCTTCTGTCTATATGTTGCTTTCACTGGTTAATGAATAAAGAAACTGCCTTGGCCTGATAGGGGAAGAACTTAGGTAGGTGGGGAAGACAGAACTGAATTCTGGGAGGAAGAAAGTAGAGTAAGAGAAGCCATGCATCTTCTGCCTGAGACGGACACCTGTTAGAATCCTGCTGGTAAGCCACAGTCATCTGGCAATACACAGATTAATAAAAATGGGTTAAATTAAGATGTAAGAACTAGTCAATTAGAAACTAGAGCTAAGGGGCTAAGCAGTGTTTTAATGAATACAGTTTCTGTGTGGTTATTTTGGTGTAAGCTAGCCACGAGGCCAGGATAAACAAAGGGCCTCCCTCTCCTTGTAACAATTATTGTATAAAATGAAGCAAAAAATGTTTATTAAACAATCCCCACTTCTACCTTGTTTTCTCCAAATGCAAAGTTAATTTCTAGTTTTCTTCTTAATTATTGTGTGTTTTTGGTTACTAAGCATTTTAGAAATTTCACTTTCTTTTCTGCTGGTCAAGTATACTGTGGCCCAGGTTTGGTCTAATTATGAGAAGTTAGGATTCTAGCAAGGAAAACATTCACAACAGGAACCAAGATAAAGCTAGGTCCTTTCTTACTAACACTAGAATATGATATTATAACTTTATTTTAAAGTATTGGAAAGTATTACAACTGATATTTCAGCACCAAGATTCTGTGTAAAAAAGTTGAAAAGATGCAACTGACATCTCATTTCTACTATTTCTCTCTGGATCATGTTAATTCATGTTTGATTTCTAAATACTTAAGCAACAACTAAGTATGCTTCATTAGCCCTTAATCATAAAGTGACATTAATGGCACATCTATTGTGGGAGAGAAATGACTATAATCATTACTTAGGCAAGCAAAATATATATACACCTGCAGCTTGTTCTTTTCATTGATCCTTTGAGTAAAGGAAACCAATTATAATCCAAATCAATAGAGAACGGCAGGAACTAACTCTATCTTCACATATTGCTAATTTTGTTTCAGTAAGGTGTACTAAGAAGCCTAAATTTATAGAAGTTCAAATTAGAAACTCACAACCAAGTTTTGAAAGACTTGAATTTTGAACAACTTCATTATTTCTTACAATTTCCTTTATATAATGCCCTGAGGTATTACCTGTTTTATTTTGCAGAAGGAGAATCAGAAGAGAAAAGTATCTTCTTTATGCTTTTCATAATTAGCAGTATTGCTCAGTCTCCTGAATACAGCATGTCACTCTAGCTAAAGGGCTTTTGAGAAGGGACTGGATCTGAAGGCCTCTGATTTTATCAATGGATCAATCTCTTGGTGGGTCACCACTGGAATTTGGTGAAATGTCGGTGTTGTGGACTAAATGGAGGCACTGGAGACATGCCCTGGAAAGACATACCCAGTCCTGCTTCTGATCGAACTGCTTCTGATCTACCTTTTGCCTACTCTGATCTCCATGCTTCCTGGCTGCCATGAATTGAACAGCCTCTTCCACCACAGGATGCTTCCACTCCATGCAGCTTTGAATCACAAGTTCTTAGGAACAAATCAAACAAAGCAAGGACTGAGACCTTGGAAATCATGAGCCAGAAACCTTTCTACTCCGTAAACTGTTTCACTTGATGGCACTGCCCTGAAAAGTGCCATTGCTTATCTCATTCACTTTCCCCCAGAACCCTACCCACAAAACAATCCAAGTCTGATGAGTGTTGTTTGATTATGTGAGAGTAATGCTGTTTCCCCCTAAAATTTCACAGTTATTTGCAGAACCTACATCTCCAGGCTAACTTGTACCACATGACTTTGTTTTACCGGATTCCACCAGTGTTTTTACTAGAGTCTGTGCTGTGTATATATTCGTATTCTACCTAAGTATTTTTACAGCTGTCAAATATTGTTTCATCCCATAAATATTAAGAAGTTACTATGTC